GAAGGGTCGCACAAGCCATGACATGGTTGGAGTCGTACTCACTGCCTATGTCAGTGCCCTGGAAGGCATGACAGTCCACGACTGCACTAGCCAACCTTAGGCAGATGAAGATAAGGACAATCTAGTGTCTCGTGTGCCCAACATTGGATGACCACGTGACCAGACAACGACGTGCGTGTTGGAATTGTGTGTTTGAGATTACATGTCAGTTGTCTTATGCCCACTTTAACCAGACTGTCCCCACTGACTCATCTCTCACTGAGGCAGAATTTTCTCAGGACGTGGAGCATCAGGTCATCACGCCGACCTGTTTGCGCATTCCACTCACCAGCAACAAAGAGTACTTTGTGGACTGGATTGAACTCCTCCGTTTTTCGTAGATGTTGCCCTACGCCACAATCATAGAAATTTTACACTTGGATAGCAGCTAATAAAATTAAAAAGAGCGATACCTCCAACCACCCTCCCTGAATCGCACTTCCTTAACCGCTACACATTCATCATGTGCCAAAGGGTGAGTGCACAATGTGTTTATTGTTTCTTCATTTTATTGTTCAACTGTTAACATTTTTTTACACTTAAGCATGACCATTAAGAACATTCTCTGTGGCTGTTTATCTTCACTCGGCTCACAGATATGCTGGAGCCTACGCTAGTTGACTTTGGGCGAGTGGTACACTTGTCGCTAACCAGTCGCAGGGCACATATAAAACAACAGCGATTCACACTCACTCACATTCACACAGACAATTTAAAGTCCATTCACCTACCGTTTATGTTTTTGGAATTTAGGAGAAAACCGGAGTACCCGGAGAAAACCAATGCAGGCATGGGTATAACATGCAAACTCCACACAAGGAAAGCCCAAATTTAAACCCATGACCTCTGAACTATCAGGGAGATATGCTAAACTGTTGTCCGCAGTGCCGCATTGTTAAGAATGCAGTGCATGCTCACTGTTAATTGAAACCTTAAAGTGAACGTCTCAACAGCATTCAGGTTTTGTACTTATTTGTTTATGTGAGCTTCACTGCATGGAAGAGGCTGTTCCAACGAAATGCTTGGAGACACTCGGGATAGTGCAAAATGTCAAGGGCAAAGCTCGCCTTAATGTGAAATAGGACGAGCTGAGCTGTGGGCTCACACGCACACAAAGAAGCTGACATTTTGCATGCCCTTACCACAGCCTGGACACAAAATGCGTGTGATTAGTTTTATTTCTTTCATCATCACATTTCCATTTCATATTTGATCCATTAACATTACCAAAACAAATGATTGGACTCTGCCAGCGTTGTTTCCGTAGTATCAGTGTTTCCCAGCCTTTACTTAACCAAGCACACCAACAAACAAAAATGTCTCAGTAGGCACTTGGAGAATACCGACTTGACGATCTCATCTCAGTTTACTCTTCCAGTGCAAGACCATTGTTGTCGTTGTTCTGCCTGTCACAGACGGCACTGACATAGATCGCTGAACAAAAATACATTATTCATCGTAAATGAATAATTTTTGGATTGGACTCATTTCTTGACTAATGCACCGCAGCACAACGGTGCGCCGCAGCACAACGGTTTCGAAACAGTGCTGCAAATGCATCCTAGTTGTCAGTGATGTTCACTTTTGTCTCTCAAACAGTACTCTCTGTAGATTTGTGACAATGCTCAGTCCTTGGCAACACAATGATACATTATGGCGCATACAGTGCTGTATACAGTGCAGCATACAGCATAAGGCAGGACAACATGCCTTAACTTGACAATGACAAACGACTCTGTTGTTTACCTGCTCAACAAATGAATGTTTCTTGCTTTCTGAGTGTATGGAGTGAGCCAATCTGTGTGCCAATCACGAATGGTAATTCCAAATAATAGATGGAGAGAAGGGGAAAAACAGCCAGCAGTTCAATGATGTGTGTGGACACAGATTGCCGTATGTAAATTTTAACCTTTCTGCCAGTGCTGGCTATCAGGCTTGTAGACAGAAAGGTCCTCCTGTTGACGTGACGAGCTGGGAAGACACAAGCTGTCACCGCTGACTAATTACACTGCAAGCAAACAGTTGAGTCCTCTGTTTACATTCGGACGGCCTCAGGAGACTGAGATGAGCGTCATGAATCAGATTGTCTTTTGCATGTGAGTCTCACATGCATTTGTGAGATTGCAGAAAGCCATCAGTCATGTTTTAGACGCGAAGGACAGTCCTTAGAATGACTAAAGTATTGACGCGGTGATGGATGTCGACGGTAGGCCTGTGGTAAGTCAAACCCCTTTTCCTTCGGAAGATGTGGTAGACTCTGAGACGATATTAAATAATGCTGACAACTGCGGAACAGCACTCAACATTGCTATTGTCTTAATACCATATAGTCTTAACAATTCGCTAGTGAGCTGCAGTCTGTATTTCAGGCCGCTCCAGTCCGTCCAAGTCTTCTGCGACAGCCAAACTGCGGGTACTCCGGTTTCCTCTCACATTCCAAAAACATGCACTCTAAACTGTCCCTCGGTGTGAGTGTGAGCGGGGATGGTTGTTCGTCTCTGTGCGCCCTGCGATTGGCTGGCAACCGGTTCAGGGTGTCCCCCGCCTACTGCCCGAAGACGGCTGGGATCGGCTCCAGCACCCCCCGCGACCCTTGTGAGGATAAGCGGATCGGAAAATGGATGGATGGGTGAACTTTTGTCCATTTATCAATAGAAAAGTAAAGGTTACCAACAAAAGCTGCGGTGGCGAGTAAAGGAGTCTCCATTCTTATCATTTTAGCTTTGGACCACTTGTCATGTGTGGCTTAAGGTCATGTGGCACTAACACACTGGGACAGTGTCCAGTATGTGTGATACCTCCAACCACCCTCCCTGAATCGCACTTCCTTAACCGCTACACATTCATCATGTGCCAAAGGGTGAGTGCACAATGTGTTTATTGTTTCTTCATTTTATTGTTCAACTGTTAACATTTTTTTACACTTAAGCATGACCATTAAGAACATTCTCTGTGGCTGTTTATCTTCACTCGGCTCACAGATATGCTGGAGCCTACGCTAGTTGACTTTGGGCGAGTGGTACACTTGTCGCTAACCAGTCGCAGGGCACATATAAAACAACAGCGATTCACACTCACTCACATTCACACAGACAATTTAAAGTCCATTCACCTACCGTTTATGTTTTTGGAATTTAGGAGAAAACCGGAGTACCCGGAGAAAACCAATGCAGGCATGGGTATAACATGCAAACTCCACACAAGGAAAGCCCAAATTTAAACCCATGACCTCTGAACTATCAGGGAGATATGCTAAACTGTTGTCCGCAGTGCCGCATTGTTAAGAATGCAGTGCATGCTCACTGTTAATTGAAACCTTAAAGTGAACGTCTCAACAGCATTCAGGTTTTGTACTTATTTGTTTATGTGAGCTTCACTGCATGGAAGAGGCTGTTCCAACGAAATGCTTGGAGACACTCGGGATAGTGCAAAATGTCAAGGGCAAAGCTCGCCTTAATGTGAAATAGGACGAGCTGAGCTGTGGGCTCACACGCACACAAAGAAGCTGACATTTTGCATGCCCTTACCACAGCCTGGACACAAAATGCGTGTGATTAGTTTTATTTCTTTCATCATCACATTTCCATTTCATATTTGATCCATTAACATTACCAAAACAAATGATTGGACTCTGCCAGCGTTGTTTCCGTAGTATCAGTGTTTCCCAGCCTTTACTTAACCAAGCACACCAACAAACAAAAATGTCTCAGTAGGCACTTGGAGAATACCGACTTGACGATCTCATCTCAGTTTACTCTTCCAGTGCAAGACCATTGTTGTCGTTGTTCTGCCTGTCACAGACGGCACTGACATAGATCGCTGAACAAAAATACATTATTCATCGTAAATGAATAATTTTTGGATTGGACTCATTTCTTGACTAATGCACCGCAGCACAACGGTGCGCCGCAGCACAACGGTTTCGAAACAGTGCTGCAAATGCATCCTAGTTGTCAGTGATGTTCACTTTTGTCTCTCAAACAGTACTCTCTGTAGATTTGTGACAATGCTCAGTCCTTGGCAACACAATGATACATTATGGCGCATGCAGTGCTGTATACAGTGCAGCATACAGCATAAGGCAGGACAACATGCCTTAACTTGACAATGACAAACGACTCTGTTGTTTACCTGCTCAACAAATGAATGTTTCTTGCTTTCTGAGTGTATGGAGTGAGCCAATCTGTGTGCCAATCACGAATGGTAATTCCAAATAATAGATGGAGAGAAGGGGAAAAACAGCCAGCAGTTCAATGATGTGTGTGGACACAGATTGCCGTATGTAAATTTTAACCTTTCTGCCAGTGCTGGCTATCAGGCTTGTAGACAGAAAGGTCCTCCTGTTGACGTGACGAGCTGGGAAGACACAAGCTGTCACCGCTGACTAATTACACTGCAAGCAAACAGTTGAGTCCTCTGTTTACATTCGGACGGCCTCAGGAGACTGAGATGAGCGTCATGAATCAGATTGTCTTTTGCATGTGAGTCTCACATGCATTTGTGAGATTGCAGAAAGCCATCAGTCATGTTTTAGACGCGAAGGACAGTCCTTAGAATGACTAAAGTATTGACGCGGTGATGGATGTCGACGGTAGGCCTGTGGTAAGTCAAACCCCTTTTCCTTCGGAAGATGTGGTAGACTCTGAGACGATATTAAATAATGCTGACAACTGCGGAACAGCACTCAACATTGCTATTGTCTTAATACCATATAGTCTTAACAATTCGCTAGTGAGCTGCAGTCTGTATTTCAGGCCGCTCCAGTCCGTCCAAGTCTTCTGCGACAGCCAAACTGCGGGTACTCCGGTTTCCTCTCACATTCCAAAAACATGCACTCTAAACTGTCCCTCGGTGTGAGTGTGAGCGGGGATGGTTGTTCGTCTCTGTGCGCCCTGCGATTGGCTGGCAACCGGTTCAGGGTGTCCCCCGCCTACTGCCCGAAGACGGCTGGGATCGGCTCCAGCACCCCCCGCGACCCTTGTGAGGATAAGCGGATCGGAAAATGGATGGATGGGTGAACTTTTGTCCATTTATCAATAGAAAAGTAAAGGTTACCAACAAAAGCTGCGGTGGCGAGTAAAGGAGTCTCCATTCTTATCATTTTAGCTTTGGACCACTTGTCATGTGTGGCTTAAGGTCATGTGGCACTAACACACTGGGACAGTGTCCAGTATGTGTGTATTCACAGGGTGGAAGGAGGTTTTTCTTGGTGGCTGTGCTGCAAGCTTGAGATCAGGGACACTTTGGAGAATGCCGAACAGGAAGTTAAAAGGTTACATTTCCATATGACCATGTACGGCAGTGGAGCCGTGTTGTCATGTGGTGTAATGGGTAAAATTGTATGGACTGTAACTATAGCTCCTTACATATTAGTCATCTAAGCCATCTTTTTTTCTGCCATTGAACTGTCTCGCCATCTGTCTACAGGGCACCTTTGTGAGACTGGGAAGTTGAAGTTAACCTGAGAATGTGGCGGCTTCTGAGGTAGTATCAATGGTGACCACCAGCCACGACGGTGAAGTTTAACGCCTGAAACTTACTGCCACAGCCCCCTTTGTGTTAAATGCACATTGTGATTGCACACTTCGGACGTTGGAGTTCTGTCTGAAAGGGACAGATTGAATAGAGTACATCTTATTACTCCTGTTCCACCGGAATCGCACCTCTGATATAATCAATGGAGTGTGAAAGCTGCTTATAACTGGCATCTCGCCCCAGCCTCAATCTTGTTGAACATTTGTGGACTTTTGATTTAAAAACTGTGTCCTTGCCAGGAAAGAAATCAATTTTGAAGAGCAGTGGTCAATAATCACCCTGAACTATGACAGAAGCTTAGATGAGCTGAAACAATATTCGTGTTGAAAATGTTGAAATGTTGTCAGCTGACTGACACTGAAGTATGTTTTCTGACAGGTGGCCTTATAAATTTGTTAGGCGCTGTACCATACAGTACATTACATTCAAATGGTTGATTGCACGTTATGTGTTTGTGTCCTGTTGCATCCCTGGTAGGCTTCGTGCATGGGTCTATGTATTGACAGGTGACAGATCTTCTGGGCCACCGAGCCGGACAGGCAAGGCGCATCACTGTCCCCTCACGGCCGGCCTGACATACAGCCAGACCTACCATGACAGGCGTAAGTAACACGTTTTAGCCTGAAAGTTAACAACTTTCGACACATAAACAGCACAAAAGCTGCCCATCCAGCGTGTATATTTTCCATACTAATTAAAGGCACTGCGTCATGTTGTCAGTGGAGGTCATGGTGTTTTGTTTTTTTTGTTTGTTTTTTGTTTTTGTTTTTAAAGCCAACACTCACAATGGACATAATGTGTTGCTAAAAATGATAATTTTGGTGCTCAACTTTGAATGTTGTTGCATGAGCACAGTCCTAAAGCCCAACAATATAATTTGGATCATTATCAAATTGAACACATTAACTCCGGGGTGTCAAAATCATTTTCGTCACAAGCCACATTGTAGTTACGGTTTTCCTTGGAGGGCCATTACGAATTTGGGGAAACCATATAAATGTTTAATCCCCTCCACATATTACATACACAGCCCACAACAATTTGATGAATAACTAGTTTTAAAATCAAAAGTCAAGAATAATGACTGTTATTGTGGATTAAATCTGACAATTTGAAAATTTGGTTCAGACTTTAGCAAGCAGCATAGAACTTGAAATGCTTGATTTGCTTTCTCGGGCCACATAAAATGGTGTGACGGGCCAGATCTGGCCTCCGGGCCTTGACTTTGACACCTGTGCCTTAACTGATACCTGACTCCTAAATACACATGAAATTCGTCATTCAGAATATATTAATTCCTTAGAAATGAAGGAAAATGGTCAGCATGTGAACAAAATTAAAAGAATAACATTCATTGGGTTATGCAAAAACATACATGTCGAGCAACCTTCTTGGTTGAAGTACAGAAAAAGACATCCACCAATAAACTGTAATTTTGTGAGATACTCCACACACAATTACTGTATATTTGTCTTTTTAAAATTTAATAAATATTTAATCAAGCTTGTTAGTAGTGTGAGCTGGTGTTGGAAAATCAACATAAAGCAGCATGCACGGACATACGTTAACCACGGGCATAACTAGAGGATTGCTCCAGTATATTACAGCCAATGGTGACCCAGGGTAGAATCGGTCCCCTGCAACCGCTTGCTGATTGTAAGAGGTGACATTCGGGGTGACTTGTCATCCTTGAGTTGCAACCTGTTTTGCTGGAGGAAACAATCTGGTCCTTGAGGGAAGTATCAGACTGCAGGTCGTGCTCACAAACTTGCCGCAATATATTTGGCTGTATACCTGCCTGGCTAACAAAAGGTAAACCAGATCTGATTAATAATTGACGCAACTCCAACTGAAATGAAGAGCGCAGTCAATCAGACTCTAACAGCACAAAACCCACCTTGCAAGGAAAGCAAAAAATAAACTTCTAACTGGACCAAAATGCCCAAATCAAAATAAAAACTGATTTTAAATTTTATGGCCCACCACAGCCAAAGCTCATCCCCAAGTAGCCTTCACATCCTACACCGACATGATGCAAAATAACCTCAGTGCAATTGCAATGGTGTCAGAGCATTTTTTTTGCACCGACTTTAATTAAAAATATTTGGCATTCGAGATACCTATCTACATCTTAACTCCAGCGAATACAGTATTTTTGAAAAACTTTTAATTGTACAATTGGTACTGTCCAAATACAACCTGCACATCTTGGGAATCAAATATTCATAGAAGAACCGATATAATTCATGCAGCAGCAGTCCACCTTCATCTCCTTAAAACCATGACACTGTGCACAGTTTCTCTGGGACTATGCGTCGTTGACTTTGTGCACCAACTGCCACCGCCCGACATCATGATGGCATTCATCATGATTTCAGTGGACACAGACCTCTCTGGGGAGGCACCAGGTCAGATGCCAAAGGCAGGATTCTTGAGAATGTTGTCACCAACGACACCTTAGGTCTGCAAAGACACACACACACACACACACACACACACACACACACACACACAAAAAAGTTATTTCCATGCTGGACCTCCTCTCTAATTGGGCTGAGGGCTGGACGATATGGCTGAAAAGTGTATCATGATGTATTTCATTTCAGTCAACATTGATAAGTATTTATTTGTTTATTTATTTATTACCTAATTGAAATAAGAAAAAGCATTTAATGGGTTAAAGATAAAGTACAATAAAACACAACTTTCCAGAGGGGGGAAAAAACAATCATTCAAAATATCAGGTAGAAAAACAAATCTACACAAAATGTGTTTTGTGTATATTGTAATGTAGTGTGATGTGAAATGTACATCCATGCTCCTCAATCGCTGCTTTTCCTTGTATGCTTAATTTTTGCGTCTGTAAACGCAGCGCTGGAATTTTCTCATCTGTACAACGAATGTATTCCCAGATTTACCAATATGGATTTTGCCAAATTCCATTGTCATCAGTTTGTCTTTTCAAGTTATTCAAGTAAGTCCTTGGTTGATTGTCGAGACCTAAAATGTTTTTATAGTGTAAAATAGGTGCCCCACTTCCACTGTATCAGCCAACTGCAGGCACAAAGGTAAAAATTTAAGGTAAGATTTTTTTTTCTTAATCACTATTGAAGGGTTTTTCTTTTTTTTTTTTAAATATTGTAACTATGACTTTTCTAACATGCGTTCTTTGCTGTCATAGGAACAGAACGCCATAGTAAACTGAGCCACTGTACATTCTATTTCCTTTTTGTAGCAAATCCTATTTAAATTCCGATTTGAGCAGGCTCTTGTTTATGCGGCATTATCCAAAGCAAACAGAGAATTGCCTCAAATAGTGGCCTCTGCTTTGCTTCCCTAATTAATTCCCAGGTGTGCCATCAGCATAAATAAATAAATGCCGCACCTCAAATAGATGCCCTTTTTTTTTTTCTCGGGAGATAGCTGTAATTAACTTTACGGTGACTTCGACCACCACGTTATGTGGCAAACATCATTACCGCACACTGCCTGCATTGCAGTGTGCCATCTGTTGAGCCAAAGTTAATTGTACAATGCCGTCTAGACAGGAGAGCACTCTGAAACAACTTGCAAACTTTTTAACACTGACCAGAGATTAAGAAAGAAAGAATACCTTACATCTAATAGACCTCCACTGCAATTGATGGAAAAATACCCACTGTCAGAAATCTATTTGAACCCACGAGTGACTCGAGACCAGTCCAGGGTAGCAGCTGAGATCGGCTCCAGCTCTACAAGACATGACATAATACAAGACATACAAGCTCGTTTGTAAACAAGTTTGCATCAAATATAAAATGCAAATAAAATAGAACCCAAAAAAATTGATTCTCTGAACAGTAACAGCAATCGTTGTCCTCTCCAGCTGGTGAAGGTGATACAGTGCTTGAGTACAAGGATCGTCTCTTGGAAGCTGAGCGTATGGGTGTTCGAAAGCAGCCATTGTCCCCGAAGGCAGCTTTTAAATGGAATAGATTTTTTTTTCCTACATCCCTAGCCAAGGCTTTAGGGAAGGTCGCTTCATTAATCAAAGCCAAATGCCAATGCCTGCCCATCTCTGTCCTTAACCCAGCAACAGATAACGCAATTCATTGGTACTAATAATTAAATGTCCACCAGGACAGAGAGTACCAATATGTTGGGAAACTGTAATTACCACGTAATTACCCATTAGGTTAATGCCATTGTGTGCTCCAGAAGTGTACCTGTAACTAGAAATTTTTCAATGGGGTAGACGGATCAGACATCACTACTGTATGATGTGCCAGTGTGTTTCATTTTTTTCATAACATCCACACTCAGGGTTTCATGAAATAACATTCACACATATCCTGAACAATACCATCACACTCGTAACCAAGCAGGAACAAGTCGAAGTAAGAAGAAACATTTTGCTGAGCTCAACTTAGTAGATAACGCCACTTCTTTGAAATTCAAGTCAAGATGCATTTATTTGAAATTCTCAGAGTCTACTTCTACCTCATACACTTGATTTGCTTGCTCACAGCCAATCAGAGAGACCAATTGTCACCGATGGACGTGATTTTGGCATTCTGGCTCATTGATTCAAATCATATCTAAAAAGCACAATGACACAAAAATCTCTTCTTCACAATTCTAGATCTTGCCTTTGTATTAGGTTTGTTCCTGCTTGTATTATGAGTGTGTATATAAGATTGGTTTATGTGACCATTTTATTTCCTGAAACCATGATTGTGGATGGTATGATAAACAATGACATCTCGGCCATGTTGTTTGGATATCGTGGTTGGAAAGTAATGACTTTGATTAAAAGTACTCACAAAATTCAAACGTTATGTTTTTCAAACAGATTGTTATTGTCTGTGTCTTCTTATCAATAATATACATTTTCTTGACTTATGCAGCTCAGATTTTTTTTTTAATTGTAATTATCAAATAGTCTCAGCCTACTGCATCCATGAAAAATGGCAGAAACATTAGATATCGACATTTTCCCCCAGATGTGAGGGTAGCCATTGAAATCGCCATCGAGTGAGAAATGGCCATCACATAGCTCTGTTCCTGCTCCAGGGCCATGGGCTGGCGTTGGCCTTTTGGGAGTCTGTGTTTTCCTGTTGCAAATCTTCAGCAGGGCTCATGATGGTGCCAGCCCACTTTCTGTGCTGATTCAGTGTTGGAAAATGTCAAGTCAAATTTCGCTTGAGAGGATTTTGGCAGATGGGTTGAAGTGCAGGGAATGACACAAGAAAAGACACACAACTGGAGTTGTGATGTACGCACACATTTGTCGTGTGTTTCTCTTGGGTCACACGCATACCACCAGTCACGCTATGGACTTTGCACTACAGGCAAATTCAAAGGACATGTCATAATGTTTTACTATCTGACAATCTGTGCTGTATGATCGAAATGGAGTGAGGATGTGGGTGCATTTTACCCCCCAGAGTTTTTGCTTAACTCATGTTATTCTGTGACATGGTCACCAAAATAAATGTCACAACATGCAACTATCACTTTGGCTTTTGTTTGCATTCGTTATAGAGAATGAAGAGAGGATTCAAACCATAAGCTTGGGGGAAACTGGACAAAGGATATGATTTTATCTTTTATTCCCTATTTTATTGTTGTTGTTTTTTTCCTTTCACAACGTCACTAGCTGTAATTCAAGGTGGTGACAATTTTGGGAGTTATTTGTAGATATCATTTATTGTTTTCAGACACCAAGTGAAGACAATCAGTGGACAGTACAAACAAGCACTCAACATTTCATGAATTGCCCCCACATGAAAATATAACTCAGCAAAACGCCACCGCCATCTACTGGTGAAAACTGGATCTGGTGAGATCAATCTGGGGGTTTTCTTACCTAATATATTTCTTAACTTCAATTTAAATTTGACACAAAAGAGGAAAATCTATGATGTGAACTTCAAATGTGAACACTGAAGTGCTGTTCTAAAACTGGAAGGCGTGACGAAGTAGGAGCATTCTTATCCCAACCACACCCGCACCCCACAAATCAACAACAATCTATCCCCCATCATTTTTCACTCTTTGACACTGCACTCTAACAAATAAATTAATATGGTTAGCACACCGGCCTCACAATGCAGAAGTCAAGGGTTCAAATCCGGGCTCCAGCCTTCCTGTTTGGAGTTTGCACGTTCTCCCCGTGCCTGCGTGGATTGTTTGTCTATGTGCGATTGTCTGGCAACCAGTTCAGGGTGTACCTCGCCTTGATTAAATTTTTGTATAGCAGTTTCTGCACAGCAGCTGACCTGGGAAAACATTTTTTTTTCCGGTGATCACTTTTAGATTTTCTTTTTAAGGAAACAAAATCCAGACTGTTTATCAATAAACAGTCATTAAATAAAACGAACCTCATAAAATACTTGGTCATGAAACATATATTGAGATTTGGAAATGTTATTTAATGATAGAAAACGATCTTAGGGTTACTGTTGCACGGATTTAATAGTCCGTGTACAAACCCCGTATTTACTTGGTGTCTAATCGATACCAAAATTTGCAATATTGCAAACCACGATTGAACACCCCATTTCCGGTTTTATTCCATGAACGGCACCACCGGATATGACGTTATTGCGCACTACCTCTCACTTGACCAATGTTTTGGCTTTGCCTTTCTTCTTGGCAAGTGTCAGGCGTTCATGTGAAGGGAGAAGTTGTCGCTCCAATCTTCGGCTTCTCCTCGTCGTCATGGAGGCTCGGGCGAGCTTCTGCCGTGAGGAAATCAACAGCACCGTGTGGGAGGTTCCGGAGAAGTACACCCATCTCAAGCAGATCGGAACCGGGGCGTACGGCTCTGTTTGGTGAGTCGTTTGTCACACTCATTGTTGGGGTCGTATGAAGACTATTGTGTTGTCTCAATGGGAAAGTGTTAGCCACAATACTCGCGTGCACACACACATGCAGGAAGCTACTGGCCTGGCTGGAGTGTATTCATAACGCACATAAACACTATGACAACACTTGGACACCCCACCCCACAAGATATCCAATTACAGGAGAATCTAATTGAGGCAAGGGCCGCAGCTCCACTATTTACAGTTACCCTGTATGTGTATCTATGTAGTACTGTATATATTTGTGCCTGCCTGCCTGCCTTATCTATCTATCTATCTATCTATCTATCTATCTATCTATCTATCTATCTATCTTCAGGCAATCAGCGGGGTACACCCTGAACTGGTTGAACTGGCCAATCACACGTTAATAGCATGGATATTATTTAATGGCAATGATGCTGCCATCCCTTCTCCAGAACATCATAGTACTTGCTGTATAGAATATAGACAACTCAGAATATTATAATTAGTTTCCACACCTCTTGCAGTCATATTTGCATATGATTGCCACTACTTATGGCTTTCAATTAATTTTTTCACTAGGATTTCAGCTCGGTGACATTTTTTTCACGGGTTCTGTCTCTGAAATAAATGCAATTTATTGATATTCAATGTTAATAATTAATATATGTTTCTCACCTTCCTACTCTTGTGTGGCCAACATTGAGGGCTCCAGTTTGCCCATGTCCCTCGTGAGTAGGGATTGTAACAATATCCAAACGTCACTTTACACTATTATCACAATGTTGTGGGGAGGTTGGGATTTAAAAAAAGCTCACCATACTGTGAAAAATAATTAAGAAAAAAAGCGTGTGATATTACAACAGCAACAACAACAAAAAACGCACACACAATATTGTTTTGGAACATAATAAAAGCAGTGACCCAAAAAAAAAAAAATAATAATAATAAAAGACTTGGCCAATCATATTGTCATGTATTCCAATGGTCCAGTGGGGCAAAGTATCATGGTCTTTGTAGTTCACAATGCCTTGTTCAGCTGAAGCAGGCAAAAATTGTTTTTGGACATAGATATCCTGCTTTTTATATGACGCGATGATATCGTTGCAATTTTAATATTGCGACATTGGCGTTATCGTTACGCCTGTTCTCGTGAGGATAAGCACCTATAATTTGCATTTTTCCATGTTTAATCAAATGGAGAAATACAGTATATAATCCTTAGTGCAATTCTAATTTGCCTCAACATGTACATACTGCATTAACTAATTATCCCTTTCTAACTGATGTATAAATAAAACATTACATTATGGTACACTTTCTCAGAAACTTGCTGACAAGAAAAGAAATGGTGCACTTTCTACTGTACAATATACTGTATGACAATAAAGAGTTGCAGCTCCAAAACTTCAGCAAATCCTGTGTGTAAGTTTATACTGAGCCGTAGTAGCCTAGAAAATACTGACTAATTACTGTAGTGCATGAATTAAATAATACAATGTAATTTCAAGGTCTGATGAGACAAATAAGTCACCATCTATACACTCCAGTGACTGAGAAAATAAAACCCAAAAGAAGCATAAATCTTTGTTTCACGACGAGAGAACATTTCAGATGGGCCGTTTATTTAATGTACATACTTTTCTGAATTTTTCTTTGGGGAGTAAAGTAAGTATAATAGATATTTGTTCTTTTATAATGAGTGCTGGTTGTACCTGACTGCAATTTCTCGATGAGTGTGTCTCTCTCTCGCCAATGTGTTGGTGGATGGCCCTGCAAATAGCCCAACAAGCTCTCCCTCCCACAAACTGGTGCCCTCCGGATCACTGCAAACATTAACAACCTGCTACTTGGCTTTACTGAATACAAAAAGACATGCAACCTCCCATGCTCGCATTTGCACCTTGGTGCAATTTACAGTTGAACATAAATGTTTTTATTTCAGACTACTCATCATTTTTGATGAACCCGATTCACACGTTTTTCTAATCATTGAAGAAAAAAAAATGACCTCAATGAACCTGACATGCATCAATTTTCGAAAGCTTGTGTTAAAATGGCGTCGTCGAAGGTTAGCTGGAGCCTAACCCGGCTGACTTTAAGAGAGAGGCAGGGTATACCCTGAACTGGTCGCCAAACAATCACAGAGCACATACTTAATAGACAAACAACGACTCACACTCAAATTCACGCCAGCGGACCATTTTGAGTTTTCAATTAACCTAACATATCAAACACGTTTTTGTCACAGTCCACATTGGAGTTACGGTTTGCCTTTGAGGGCCGTTGGGAATTTTAGGAAACCATATAAATGTTGAATCATCTCCACATATTACATACACAGCGCACAACAAATTGATGAATAACTAGTTTTAAAATCAGACGTCAAGAATAATGACTGTTATTGTGGATTACATATGACCATTTGAAATTTTGGTTCAGACTTTAGCAAGCATCATGGAACTTGACGTGCTTGATTTGCTTTCACGGGCCACAGAAAATGATGTGGCGGGCCAGATTTGGCCCCCGGGCCTTGACTTTGACACCTGTGCTGTAGACGTTAAGCCAAAGCCACCTCCCAAAGCCAAAGGAACATTCCTGCCAACCGTCAATTAACCTTTAACACTCATATACTCTGTAACCACATTCAATCACCGGGTGAACGTACAAATTATACTGTATACTGGAAAGGATCAATGCAAGGACTAAACTGAAGACCTGCTGCATTTGTGGCCAAAGTGCTGACCACTGGACACAAACAAATGCAGCCTAAAAATGCAGTGTAATTATGTCTTGTTCCATTTTTCACCACAGCTCAGCAACAAATGAGAAGACGAAGGAGAGAGTGGCCATCAAGAAGCTCCACCGGCCCTTCCAGTCAGAGATCTTCGCTAAAAGGGCCTACCGGGAACTGCGGTTGCTCAAACACATGAAGCATGAAAATGTGAGAAGTATAAAGCCTTCACACTTCCTTGAATAACAATACTGTATGTCTCTTTCATCTCCAAATGGTACACCCATTGTGTGTTTCAACTATGACAGCCAACATATTAAAATATTGACATTCAGTACCTCATGTCCAGGGGTGTCAAACTATTTTTATTTTATTTTATTTTTTTATTTTTTGGGTGTCACAGGCCACAACATAGTTACGGTTTCTCTCAGAGGCCCATTATGAATTATGAGCCCATATCAATATACGATCGCCTTGTATTATCAAATATATGCAACAAATTGACGGATGACTCATTTTGAAATCAGAAGCCAGTAAAAATTAATTTAAAAAATAATCAATTTTGGTAATTTAGCAAGGCATATGAAGTTGACGCACATGATGTACAACAACTACAAACAGCATTGTGTCTGGCGCACCTAAAAGCCTTCCATTTTCTTAAAAGCTCACAGTGTGCCTTAAAATCCGATGTGCCTTGTGTTTGGTCATTACGGTAATATTTCAACCCCAAAATGGCTCTTTGCTCGAGACACGATGACAATGCAGAGTTCAAACTTAAGGCGATCGGTTACGCAGTTGAACATGGAAATAGAGCAGCGGCAAGAGAGTTCAACGTGAACGAGTCAATGTTATAACTTGTTGTTGGTTAAGTGAACTGTGTCGCTGCTTTATTAAATAAGTTTGACTGACATCTGATCGTTCTGTTGGTGTTTCCTTGAGCGTAGCTCCATCTAGTGGATGCATTGTATTATAATGCGTATTATAATGTGGTGCGCCCAATGTATGAAAAAAATTACAAAATAGGCCATTCATTGAAGTTGCGCCACATAATCCAGTGCGCCATTTAGTGTGGAAAATATGGTAGTTAATTAAGTTGCATGACATTTCATTTTAGATCTACAATATTATGGACCATGTTGTGTAAACTTGTAAATCACCATGAACAACGAATGAATCAGACACCTGTGTTCCACGATCTCCTCTTACTCATCATTTTCTCATTCCAATCAGGTGATAGGACTTCTTGATGTGTTTACATCTGTTTCAAGCCTCGACGACTTCCAGGACTTGTGAGTATTTTCTGGCTCATCAGTCAACACCCCGGGCAGTGTTAAGTATTCAGCTACTACACACTCACGGGGACACAGGCTCACATTTATCCTTGTGTTTGTATTTGATGTTTGTTTGAATCATGGGGGATCCAATGGAAGCCCGACATTTTTACACAATGTTCAACTTAGGATCAGTTCACATTAAGAAAATTGTTGGACATAAGCATTTCTAGGACGACATTAATTGAATACTGTGGAGAGGTGCAATAGTGGTTTGCATGTTTCTCTTGCAGTCTGAATAAATATTTGATTTATACACACACACACACACACACACACACACACACACACACACACACACACACACACGGGAAATAATTAATAGACAAAAACTACAGACATTTGAATTAATGTTTAGTACACTTGCTCTATTTGCTGGGTACATGTATTCCAAGCCCCCGCCCCAAACACACACACACACACACACACACACACACACGCGCGCGCACACACACTTTCCTACAAAGTAGGATTGTTGGCCAAATGCTGGCATTAACTCACATGTGGGGTGAGAGGCTTATTTGTTCTCCTCGTCTTAACAGAAGGTGAAAGTGCAGTTTCAGTAGCTTTAGTACAAAATGGTTTGAAAAAAACATTTTAATCTTGGGTTGATGATGATGATGGTGTTCAACATATTTGATTTCTATTTGGGTTTTTATACTTCAAACAAGCACCATGTAAAGATGCCATGAGAAGAGATGGGACAAGAATAAACCATCCTGACACAGACACAATCTGTTTATTTCCAAGTCCATCTGTGAGTGCACAGTGGAGATGAAGAAGTGGGCACGCAAACATTAAACCAATGTTTTGGTTCCGATTATGTCTACCAGTGTTCCAAATGTGTTTTCTCAACAAAGTGACAGTAAGTGGCTGCTACCAAGGATCTTGCTGAGGGATGGTCATAATAAACAATTAATCTTTTTTTTTTTTTGGGGGGGGGGGGCGGGTATTGATTAACTGAAGGCACTAAATTGAGGTGGGAATGTAAATGTTGTTGACCAGTTCCAGATGTACCCCACCTCTCACCCACTATGGTATTGAGACTCCACCTCATCCATGAACCTAATGAGAACAAGCACTGTTTTTACAAACATGACATCTTTGCCGATGAGCTGCAAGTACTTTGCACACAAACAAAGGAACAAACTACTAAACAGACCTCAAACAAAACAGCCTCATCCTACCTTACTATGTACAGCTAGAAACAGGAAATTTACATCAATGTTACATAATCATCCACTCACCTCCTCAATGAAAGGTGCAAATTTGTGTGCAGTTAAACAGCTTCATTGTCAGGTTCTGATTAGGTTACCGCCTTCCCATTTGCTGAGGGAACATCGAAATGATCTTTTTTTTTTTATTCTTTTCTCAGCTACCTTGTGATGCCTTACATGTTTACTGACCTGTCAAAGGTGCGAGGTCATCTCTCTGAAGACAAAGTGCAGTTTCTTGTCTACCAAATGCTCTGTGGGCTCAGGGTAAGCTTCGGACCCTTTTATTCACACACACAAACGTGTGTGTGTGTGTGTGTGTGTGTGTGTGTGTGTGTGTGTGTGTGTGTGTGTGTGTGTGCCTCTCATGAATGTGGGCTGTGATTGTGCTATCTGCCCTGTCTACCTCTCTGCAGTACATCCACAAGGCTGGAATCATTCACAGGGTAAGTACAAGTAAAGTTGTAACGATAGTTTTCTTGGATTAGAATATTGGTTGAAACTAATCAGTAGCTTCATAGGGCAGTGCTTTTTGTTCCTTGTTTTTCTGACTCAGACCGCATACGTGCCGGACTGAATTGCAAAAGTACAAGGGATAGTTGATTCAATTCATTCCTATCAAGTCAGATGAAACTGCAACTGCACCTGCACCGACAGGTAGTATGAGGTAACTCTGACAGCATGTCTGGAGTTGTCAAGCCACACCCTTCAGCTCCATTTCCAATACCTCTCGGTGCACGTGTGAAGCACAGACTGTCTTTAAAAAAAAAAAAAAACGCTTTTTGCCCGAGATTTCCAGAAACAATTAGAAACGTGGACTTGTCAGACCATAGCACACGTTTCCACTTTGCGTCAGTCTATCTCAGATAAGCTAGCTACCAGAGAAGCCGGCGGCGTTTCTGGGTGTTGTTGATTTATGGCTTTCGTTTTGCATGATGGAGTCTTGCATTTGTCGATGTAGCGACAAATTGTGTTAACTGACAATGGTTTTCTGACGTGCTCCTGAGTTTACATAGCAATATCCCTTCATCAGTGATGCCAGTTTTAAATGCAGTGCAGCCTATGGGATCAAAGAAAATTGAAAATTCGCCAATATTTCCCTCCAACATAAAAAATGAAATAGCTTATCTTTGGAGTCTATTCAATTGAATGTAAGTTGGAAAGGATTTGTAAATCATTGGATTTAGTTTTTTATTTACATTTTACACAACATCCCATCTTCATTGGAATTGGGTTTTGGATTTTAAGATGAAAATAAATATTGTGGTTATTTTACATGACATAACGTAATACAATTCCGCCTTTCCAAGTTCAGCTCCACCCAAGTACAATTGACTCAAAGCGATTCCGCTTCTTAGTGTAAACCTGAATATCCGGTGTAGCGCCACTTCCAAGGAGACGAATGGTTGATTGCTGCAGATATTTGCATTTCTTTTTTTACATTGAGTAGTTTGGAATGCAGGAACAATGGTGGCTCACAGTTCTGAGGTTTGGGGTTTGAGTCACGGCTATGTGAACTTTGCACATTCTCCCAATCCTTGAATTGGTTTTCTTCAGGTACTCTGCTTTCCTCCCACATTCCAAAAACATGCATGATAGGTTCAGTGAGGACTCTTATATGTGGACCGTCAACCAGTCCACGGTGCACCACATCTCTTGCCCTCTCATCTGGGATAGGCTTCAGATGACCTTAAGAGGACAGGACCTTAGAAAATGGATTCATATTTTGGAATGCAAGAATAGGAATTTCACAAAATAAGTCTTTGGTTTATTTGGTTTTATTTTCCCGGGGTTAGCGGCCTTCTTTCCCCCGCGTGTTCGTTGCATTTCGGATGAGGAGAATGTTGGTTCTTCGAATACAGGCTGGAATCGATGAACAGTTTCTTCAAAGCTTTTAATAACAGAATATTCTGAGCATCAGTGAATTACAGACAATGGCTGCGTGTCACGAGTGCGAAGCAGGAAGAGATTCACATCATTTTTATATTATCAGAAGGGCGATACCGAGACACAAGGTGTGACATCATAACTTTCGTTTCTCCTAAACCGATTCTCAGCTTAGCGCATTCCACTGTTTGTGCGTCTCCAGCAGGGAGTATTCCAATTTTAAGTGATGATTATTTCAAGGGCACGCTGCGGGCATGGGAAAGTTATACACTATGACTAAATTTGAGCAGATATGACCAAATTGATGGTCTCCATCCACCCAGCATTTTTGCTATTTGTTTGCATTTCCTATTGCTGGAATTGGATTAAAACCTCCGAAACACACTCACAACACTGTCTGATTACACTCCTGGTACACTCGTCACAGTAAAGCTGCAAAGAATTGCAAACGGTCTGGAACTCAACACACATCACAGAATTTTATGGGTAACCATGGAAATGCAGGTAGTCAACCAGTATTTGTCTCCTTTGGCTCTTCAAACAAAGTGGCAGGGTGAGAAAGTCCTGAAGATCACAGTAAATATAATCTCTTATGTGTACAGTATTAACTAACCATCATTCATCTGATCCTCTATTGCAGGATCTTAAGCCTGGAAACTTGGCTGTAAACCAAGACTGTGAGCTGAAGGTTTGTATTTGGAATGATGACAACCTTACCAATCAATATCATTTGAGTAGACTCATGTAAACAAAACAGGAAATCATTTGTGATCATTTACTTCGAAGTCTTTGTAGTAAGAAAGGTATGTCTCTCCAGATCCTGGACTTCGGGCTAGCTCGCAGCACCGACGCCGAGATGACAGGCTATGTGGTGACTCGTTGGTACCGGGCACCTGAGGTCATTCTGAACTGGATGCACTACACGCAAACTGGCAAGAGAACCGTAGCTATTAACCCTTTCTTGCACCCCTGTAACCTGATAACATGAGAAGCTGTCTACTTGTGGTAACCGCTGTCCTCAAAAGGGGTTAACATTCTCACCTCCATCCTCATTATTGTCTCAGCGCTCAGCTCAGTTTGGCTTGTCTGTGATCTTTTGAGTTGATGATGCATGCAAACGCAAACATTGCGGTGCCACTTAAAGGAATGAGTTGTGTTTTGGCCGTTGGTCTTTTTTGTCATTTAGTCACACTGGTGAGGGAAATGCATTTGAGGTGGCATCAGTGTCATTGTGACACTGAAGCTGTCGCACTTGAATCTGTCAGCGTAGACAGATGTTCCTGACAGCAGACTGTTGACGAGTGAGAATGCTGAGACTCTTTCACTCCGCTGCTGCCAATTGCAATTCACAGGACTTTCCGAAGGATGTATGCTTTTTCAGGCTATAGCTTTTTCTACTCAGCCTCAATTGTATCGGATTGTTATCCCGCCTCCATATGAGGAGCAGCAAATTCGTTTCCTGTCAAGATTGAGTTTTGCATGTATATGCTTCATTTCCACATTTTTTTGGGAGCGCTGAGCCAATAATGAAATGTTGTCACCGATGTGTCTCTCCTCACTCACACTTGTGTGTGGTCTATTCTAGTGGACATCTGGTCTGTGGGCTGCATCATGGCTGAAATGATCAACGGAAAAACCCTTTTTAAAGGGAAAGATTGTATCCTTTCACCTGCATTGGTCAATCCCCCATTGAGGTATAGATCATTTTATTCATGTGCGTGTGTCTTAGTACAACACAAGAGTATAAAAATAATTTCCACATTTGAGGGGTCTCAGAACATGGCGTTCTGTCAACAAATTGTTTTGATCTGCTGCCTTATATGCAGTTCAAGTCACAAGATCTAATTTTATATGATATATTTATTTTTTATGCCCGCCTTTGCTGATGTAAAAAAGAAAAAAAAATTGGATAGGTGAAGCTGAACCACGACAGAATGCATTATATTTTTTAGTTGAGTCTCTGATTTATTTACACTTTTGTTTACATCGCGAGGAAGGGATTTAGATATTTCTTCTATTCACAATGGCGCTTAAATCGTAATGCCGACATGCATACACACACATATGGTAACAACAAATGTTGGTATCCTTCCATTAGAGAATGAAAAAAAAAACCACAATAGTTTCTGAAATAATCTGACAGATGAAATCCTAAAAATCTTTTTCAAATTAAACTCACGGGTGGCTCGGTGGTCCAGTGGTTAGCGCGTCGATCTCACAGTGCAGAGGCCGTGGGTTCGATCCCGGCTCCAGCCTTTCTGTGTGGAGTTTGCATGTTGTCCCCGTGCCTCCGTGGGTTTTCTCCGGGTACTCCGGTTTCCTCCCACATTCCAAAAACATGAATGGCAGGCTGATTGAACCCTCAAAATTGTCCCAAGGTTTGAGTGTGAGTGCGGATGGTTGTTCGTCTCTGTGTGCCCTGCGATTGGCTGGCAACCGGTTCAGGGTGTCCCCTGCCTACTGCCCGAAGACAGCTGAGATAGGCTCCAGCACCCCCCGCGACCCTTGTGAGGATAAGCGTTTCAAAAAATGGATAGATGGATAATGAAACTCATGCATAACCATTTCTGGTGGTTTGAGGCAGGTCACTGCAATCCTATAACTACTCTCTCAGGTTTCAAGGGTGCCTTCTCCTGATTTCATGTTACAGCTCTTTCCACAACTGTTCAATAAAATGTAGATCAGGGCTCATATAAAGCCACTTCACAGCATAGTCCAGTGTTTTGTTTTTTAGTCATTCTTGGCTAACAAATAGCGCCATAATCTCAACTAATTAAACATACCTATCAGATTCATATGTTTGGTGCTTAAACACCTTCCTTGCTTGACCAAACCTAACTCTAAACACAGATATGGACCAGCTGACACAGATCATGAAAGTTACCGGAGTGCCTGGACCAGAGTTTATACAGAAACTGGACAGCCCTGAGGTACAACCTGTTAAAAGAATAGAATTTTAAAGGGGACATTTTATCGAAAGTTATTGATTTTAAAGTCTTATAGACAAATAGTGTTGTATGTGGAGTGCCTAGCAACAAGCGCGAAATTAAACAACCGAGTAAATCTTTAGTGACCTGCGGCTTTCTGAAAATGTGTCTGTTAGCAAGCTGTTCAGCACTTCCACCCCACTGTTCTGAGACAATGGGCTTGATTAACATTGCAACCACCCGCAGACCAAGTTTCTCAGCCACCGATTTGGCAGATAGGCCGGATGAAGTTCCAGAGTGAAAGCAAAAGCACAATCATGTCAAAACTAAAAAGAGCCGGATTCACTTCATAAGATTTTATAACGTTCAGCGAAATTGTCGATGTGATAATTGGGGGGGAGGGGATTATTTGTGTTTGCCAATGTTTTGCGCCACACTGCTTAATTCATTGACGTCTGATTTTGGGTGAGTGGTCATGAAATGCTGCGTGTGATAATTTATTGGAATATCGATGGACGCTTGCTTTTAGTGTGTGTGGCTAAATTACCCACCGATATCTTTGTTCAATGTGTTCTGTTGAATGCATAGATTAGCATAAATTGACAACATTAGCTAGCTTGATTTTTGCAACACAGGAGGCAGAGTTTATTTGTGTTTGGCATTACAGTATGTCCATGCACCACATACTCACTTTTTATTCCACACTCAAGGCTCTGCTTAGGTTTGTAGAAGCAAGCAGACGGCCGGTGCAAACATTCAATGCCAAGAGAAAGGACGGTCTGTCAAGCTGATGAAGGCCAGGCTCCCCATTGGCCCATCAGAACGTGAGGCAGGATGAGGGCTGGCCCTCAAATAAACATGCTGTAAAACAAAATTAAGAGTCTACAATCATTGATAAAATCATTTTGATAAAAATGTGGCACAAACATTTCATTAAGACCCCTGTGAACTGTTTAAAAAATGCATATGTTGTCTCCTTTTAAAGTTGAGACTGTGTAGATATGCAGCATGGAAATGCCTTCCTATTTGGACTCATTTAAATCACAGCCGATCCCTCCATGTAAATCCACAACCAACCACATTACTTATTCAATACCAACATTATTGTGAATACTAACAAACAAGCATTGATAATTCATGAATACTTTCCGAACGTGTGACACGAACTCCATGTTGTGTGCGTACATGCTGAAGTGCATGCTTACCAAGTGGACTTAACCAAGACGGGTTAATTTTGGTTATGATCTGTTCAACAGTTGAGTGCATATTTATCAAGATTGCAAAATCTAAAAAAATTAATAAAATAGAATCTACAAATTTTAGTGAGCTGGATGCAGCTCTACTGTATCTATGCTACTCTAATGTCAGCCACTACACTTTTCAGTCCTAAAAAGAGGCATATTAGCATAGCGTCTGGGACCACAATGACGACGTAACCAAACATGCCCTCTTATTAATTTCTTCAATGTGTTGGCTGGCAATAGAAATGACTCAGCATTCTGAGAGCGTTATAATTTCCCTACCAAGCAAACCTTTCATATTTTTCTGCTCCACCAATTCATCGGAGAAATGAATGATAATCACTTGTATATGTTTTTTTCTGCAATGTTTTGTTTCATACAAAAACAGGCAAAAAATTATGTGAAGGCCCTTCCTCACTATCCCAGAAAAGACTTCTCAACATTGTTTCCCCGAGCCAGTGCCAACGGTGAGTTCGATTTAAAACAAAGTTTTTCCTTACGTGCGCATTGTTGATCATTTGTTTAATTACCAGGCATTGACCTGCTGGAGAAGATGCTTGTTCTAGACAGTGATGAGAGGCCCACAGCTGAACTGGCACTGGAGCATCCGTACTTTGACAACCTCAGGGACCCAGATGACCTCCCTGAGCCGGCACCATACGATGACAGCCACGACAATGCCCAGTTAACTCTCGAGGAGTGGAAGCGTAAGTAGAAACTGTTCACATACATCATTTTAAAGAGAAGATCTGCAAAGAGGTAAGGATGGGTTAACTTTAACTCATTCAGCGCAAACCATTTTTAGACCCTTTTTTTTCCCCGAAGGCTTGAAAAAATATAAGTTCATAGGGTTGAATGTGTGGAGCCTGAAAAGACATAAATATGACCATTTTTTTATGCAATAACCCCTACATGATTAAATTGAACATTAAAATAATAATGAATTCAAAGAAAACATTGGTGGCCTTAGAAGACATATTTGGTGCTATCATACTTTTTACTTTTGTATATCAACCGAGAGTAAATAAGCAAAATATGAATGGGTTAGCTAGTAGTGTTTTCACCTCTTATAGCTTTCAAAATATTGAACATTTTGTGTAATCGGCAAAATGGAAAAAAGAAGAATACAGACCTCCTGCAAATCCATGCTGCTATATAGAGAAGGGGAGAAAATGTTGATTTGCTATTGGTGTAAGACTTTACAAATATACTTTTTGTTTGTTTGTTTTTGCATAATTCTGCTAATTTTACCAGCTACCTAACAATTAGACAAGCCATCCAACAAACGTTAATCTAATAGTTGCTGGAGGATATGATGTGGCTGTGATGTCAAACAACTTAATCTGCAGTCAGGTTGCGCCCACGTCATCCCTTTACCATTCACAGTCAGTAGGGGGCGTGTTTGCACGGAATGTGGGAATTATGAGCAGCCCCTTGTCAAAGGACAGTACGGTATTGTTAATTTCTGAAATGTTAGAATTAAAACTTGCTGGCGTTGAATTCTTGTAAATGAGAATTGTTTAATCCAAGATTTTGCATTGGTTTCCTCTTGTATTGGAGTACAATACTCATTCGTTGTGCTGAGCATTGTAGTCCTTAATTCACACCCCCCCTCACCCCTCCTCATTTCGTGAGGGAATTGAACTCTCTAGTTTGTTTATAAAGTTTAACAAATTGAAACCGAGGGGTTTTTTTTCCAGATTTTTTTTAAATGAGTGAAGGCAGGCGAGATTGCTATCTTATACAAGACAGGTAGGTAAGGTATAATAAACTGTAATAAATAATAAACCACTGCCCAAAGGGCCAATCCCTCTGTGTTTTAAGTGCTAACGTTGTTCAACGAGTTCACAAGCATGCTGTAGCAGAACTGCTAGTGAATAATTGATGTGAAAAATGCTCTTTGATGGGGCTCTGTAAAACCAGTAGACAGGCTGAAAAATGAACAATGTTCTCTTCTGACCGACAGGGTTATGTTTCCGAGAGGTGAAGAGCTTCGTGCCATTCCCTCGGCGAGACTCCAAGAGAAAAAACACGCTGACTATGACTCCCTGACTTGATAAATGTCATGTAAATATATAGATATAAATATGCTCATGTCCCAACTACTGCACACCCAATTGTGCTCCTGTACTGTATATTACAATTAGGGATTGCTTTTATTTCTTTTGCCCTTATCATCTACACATTTCAAATCATTTTTGCGTCAAGTGTAGGTGTTTGTGAAAGAGACATTTCATGTTACTCATTCAGTTTCCTGTCAATGAATTGCCTTACTAATACTTTTAATCTTTCCCAATTAATAACTATTTGTGTGCATACCCACTTCATTATTGAGTTGATATATTTTGAATTTAGGAAGGCCAAATTCATCACCATCACACTGGTAGTGAGTACATGAAATGTTAATTGTCTGCGCATTTTATGGCCTTGGATCTTGGTATGATTATTTTAATTTTGGTCATTTATGATTTTGTTCTCTGTGCTGTCTGTTTGCACTTTATGACTTAATTTTAAGCCGAATGTGTGTCTCTAGTAGACGTTGCCATTTTTATTTGAAATGAACATCTGCATGTTTTTGTTCCAAAAATCAATGCATACAAAGTAAATAAATAATAACATTGGAACACATTAATTAAATTGTGACATAATGTATTACATTGTCAATCTATTTAAAACAATATATTTATTGAGATATACATGTAAGGGCATCTATACACGGGTCATACAACAAATAACTTACTTTCATATTATTGTTTCAGATCATAGTTTACTGTTTAATTAATACATCGATTCACATTTGTTATTCATTTCATTGACCTTACATTTCCATACTGTTGAGTGCCAGACGATTGTACCCGGGTCATACATTCCTGATAACAATGTTGAATTTCTGCACTTAAATTACATTTTGAATGCTACAGTGGACAAATTGTTCTCTTGTGTCAACCAATAGAATGTACAATTATATTACTGAGGACACTTGTCTACGTGTGTTTTGTGTTGTGCAATTGCAGGGCCGGTGTCACGTTGAACTCTTGTTTAGAAGCCTGGGCGCCAAAATCATGCTGAGTGACGTCAGGAGGGCGGGCGTTACCTACATCAAGTTGTACAGTGTTAGATAAACCGGAAGTGAAACGATACATGAGTTTATTAAATAACGATCAACTTTTACCCTGATCAACGACCAATTAAATTACGACTACATTAAACAGAGTGATGTTTTAAAGAGTAAAAGTATTTTCTGAGTAACGATGATAGAAAGTGAAATGAATGCAAAGATTTGCGTGTCGTTTTAAAAAGACTATTGTTTTGAAAGATGTGTCCGGATGTGTGTGGTAATACCAATGGAGTTAGCAAGGCTTGCTAGGCTAGCCGGAGGAGGCTAACCCACAAAATTAGGTCGCATTATGTAGTCTCTTCCAGTAAAATTGCAGATATGTAACTCGTATGTTGGTTGGATGTATGGGCGTTAGTCCCCAACTCCTTAATCACCGTTTTACTGAAAGGCGGACCCGTTAATAAATAACGACACATACCGGGTGTAGCAACAGACTGTAGCTGGCTAAAGAGTAAGCTAGCGTTTAGCTACGGGGGTCCAGGAAAGTAACACCACAGGCTAGGTGGCAACCATTTCTGTAGAAACGCCTCAGACCGCCGGCTGTGGAGCTACTTGTGTCACCCAATTGCCATAATAGGTAAGAATGTTTTCTTTTAATCGGTAATCACGTAAAAACTTTAACTGACTACCAAACAGCGACGACGTGTTTTGTTCTTTCCGTGTCAGTGTAAAAAGAAGACATGTTACTACAGCATATTTGTCAAAGTTAGCAATCGAGCTAGCTGTACATAAAAAAATGTTATACGACCGCTCCGGACAACTGTCATAGCGTCTTTCTCGGGGAAAATGGACATAAGACCATGCTTCAAAATGACATGGGTGAAAGTAAGGTGTAAAGTGCTTAGTATGGTGTTTTAAAACTGTAAATATGGCTGACAGTGTACTCCAGAAATAAGGACACAGAGCTGTTGGAGTTCTGCGGCTTTCTTCGAGGTGATTGGCTCAGGATGTCTCAATCAAGTATTCCTGAAAGCTGATTGGCTGGCCGCCTTTGTGTTTTGACTGAGTTGGAGAGGAGTGAAGTTGTTTAAGTTACAGTTAACGAAAATAATGCGAACGATTCATGTTCCTGTCCTCGGCCGACCTTGACCAGACACAAAGGTAAAGAGTAAGCTATCCATGTTATTGTCATAATAATAATAATAATATTTCCTTTAAAAATATTTTTCCATTTTCTAGGGTACAGTACGTAAGACATATTGTATCTCTTATTAAAATTAGTATTGTAAATTCAAATTGCTTACAAATGACACGTTTTCTTTTTTGTTTTACAATTCATATTATATATCTGTGCATAAGTTAAGATTGTCATCTTACTTTTTTCCCCCCTGGTGCCGGTAACTTTCTGCTTCTCCAAACAGATACTGATAAACAATAACTTTTTTGAATAGACTACAAATATATGTTACTTCCGCTCAAAAGAATAAAACATTTTAATCCTTCTTCCTAGTAATGCAGCAGGTTCGGGGATGATGTACTGTCGGATGTTTTGCCACTTGCTGAACTCTTGTCACTTCAGACGCTGAGGTGATGGGGAATCTCAAAAGCGCTGATGCATGTCAGTCCCTATTAATAAAGTTGGTCATGTTTTGTTTACACCCTGACTAGTGTTTAAGGCTTCAAAAAAAAACAAATCACTCATAAATGTATTTACTGAGCAGTGACATTTCCATAATTTACATTGCACATTTACATGCACGCACACTTAAAAAAAAAGATGGACCACAAACATTTTAGTGCTACTGGCCATTTTCATGTGAAGAGATTTTCAAGGACCAAAAAAATAAATAAATAAAAATCACCATACCTGCACTTCAATGAGCTGTGGCCATTTGTATTCCAACAAGTACAGTAGGACAGTGCAGTGGCTTTTGCTATCCATTCCTTTATTTCTGAACAATTTATCATCACTTTGAGCCATTAACTTAGCCATAGCTTAGATCGGCTGCCCCGCTTTTGTTTATGTTTTGCCTCGGTGCTCTGCCAGATCCAACAACAATCCACGGAGTCTTGCTAGTCGGCTATCTCGTCCGAAATGGTGAAATTGCAATGAAGCTCAACTGCCCCGCTTTTGTTTATGTTGCCTCTGCTGCCTATGGCACCTGCTATACCCAACATTAATCCACAAAGGCCTCGCTGGCCGAGGCATCTCATCTAGAATGAGCCAATTAGGACAAAACTTAACTGACACCCAACTGTAATTAGGTTTCATTAGCCTATTGAAGACTTTGGTACTTCCCTATCACTTGTATAGAAATGGTAATAGACATTTTGTATTGCAGTTGGCTTATGAGTGTTAAAATAAAACATACCTTGCATGTTTTTTCTGAACCACCATTAATTTATTATTTAAATGATATCTGCTCATATTTGTTTCTCGCTGCCTTATGGTGTAATTTTGCTTGATTTGAATTCCGCAGGAGGGAACGTGTGATCGGTGGCCCATGAGGAAGCCACGCCGAAAAGGCCTGGTGGGCCCAGGATGTGGCAAAGATGACAGGAAGTCCAAGGGGACACCAGTCGGTGGTTGTGGCGTTGGTGCGCGCCAGCGATCCCCATCCCCGTACATTCTCAAAGCATCACCAAGCAGAGAAATGCTGAGCTATGCTCAGGCTCAGAAGGTTGTGGAAGTGGAGCTGGATGGCCGGCTTCACCGCATTTCCATTTTGGAGCCTTTGGTCGTCATCACTGAGGACGAAATGATGGCGCAGGACATCAGCGAGTGTAATAGCAACAAAGAGAACAGCGAGCAGCCATCGCCTCCCATCAGTGCTACGCAAATTGTCTGCAAGCCCAACATGCCCCGTGGCCGCCGGAAAGACTCCAAATGTCCATCTTTCAAGTCTCCGCCACCTTCGAAAAACCACTCCGCCCGCGCTCAACCGCAAACGCCTGAAAAGTTAAATGCAACGCACAATCACCTTCTACCCCTTCCTGAGCCTTCGTTTCGCCTTGTAGACACTTTCACCCATGTGGAGGCACCTCCTCTGCCCACGGCATACTACCGCTACATCGAACGTTTGACCGAGGACCAGGAAGCGCTGGCCGAATACGACATGGACGAGGAAGACTCGGCCTGGTTGGAGATGGTCAATGCCGGCCGGACAGCGGAGGGTTGCACCGCGCTATCTGCAGACACTTTTGAGCTGCTGGTGGACCGCCTCGAGGACGAGGCGTACCGGGAGGCGCGCATTCGGGTGCCCTGTCAAAACGCCATCGATGACGACGCCTTCTGTTGCGTCTGCTTGGACGACGAGTGCCTCAACAGCAACGTGATCCTTTTCTGTGACGCGTGCAACTTGGCCGTGCACCAGGAATGCTACGGTGTTCCTTACATCCCCGAAGGACAGTGGCTCTGCCGCTGCTGCCTTCAGTCCCCTCAGAAACCCGTTGACTGCGTACTGTGCCCCAATCGAGGTGGCGCCTTTAAGCAAACGAGTGACGGCCGCTGGGCGCATGTAGTCTGCGCTATCTGGATCCCTGAAGTCTGTTTTGCCAATACAGTTTTTTTGGAACCAGTGGAAGGTGTCAACAACATTCCCTCAGCACGCTGGAAACTTACGTGCTACCTTTGTAAGCAGAAAGGTCACGGGGCATCCATCCAGTGCCACAAAGCCAACTGTTATACTGCCTTTCACGTCACTTGTGCGCAACGTGCAGGCCTGTTCATGAAAATCGACCCAGTACGAGAGACAAATGTCAACGGGACCACGTTCTCCGTTAAGAAAACGGCCTTCTGTGAGACTCATTCACCTGCGGGCCAGGATGGCACCTCTGATGAGGAGAGTGAAGGGCGCGTGGTGGGCAGCCGAGGGAGGGCCAGTCGAGGGCGAAGTGCATACACCGATGGTCCCGCGACACTTAAAAAAGGCAAAAAGTCTGAGAGCGATTGCAAGATGGATAAAAAGAAAGGGAAGAGGGACGCGGGCTCCGCAACACTGAACAATGCTTCAATGCCTCAAGTCATTGTGCCTGAAATACCCGCAAGCAGGTATATTTTAGAGCATTTCAATGTGGGTGTTGTGTGAGCAACGTGTATATGTACATATAGTCCTCATATTTGTATTTGTTCTTATATATTGTATGTGCCACAAATTCAGCCTTTAATTTCACCTTATTCAGAACACACTCATTAACCAGTATTGCAGGTGACTTTTCGATTTTTTTTTTTTTTTTTTTTTGTAATGTTAATTATTTATTAAGCATTGAGGGAGAACAATTCAAATCGGGGAAGTTTACCAGTATGTTTCTCGCCATCAAAATGTCTATGAAACTCATGCACAAAACCATCAGAACGCAAACCCAGTAACTATCAACTTTAGGCCGGTCCTAATTTTGGGCATAAAAAAAAATACAGATTACAGTTTAATTGGCCAATTAATAAAAAAAAAAATCTATAATATATATAAAATAATATTCATCCCCACCCCCAATGCGTTTCAGTGGGTGTCCATTATATGCGCATTTTCGCTGTTCGCAAGCCGCCCTTGGTCCCCATTCACCGTGAATAGCAGAAGTCAACTGATGGTTGGAAAAAAAAACTTTCCTTTCCAGTTACCAGAATAGATTGTGTGGCACAATGCATTGAATTAATGAAGTTATAAGGACATATAGCCTTGTCATATGTGTGTTGAATGTGTCAAATTCAACACATTTATTTTGCACTATGTTTGTCTTTTTTATTATTTTTTTTAAACAAACTGTGACTTTAGGTTCTGTGTAAAGTAGTAAAATCCTGGTCAGTTACTTGCACAACTTCCTCGCATAGCTCACCTTTGCGTTGCTTGTAAAACATTAAGATTTGTTTTGTCTTTCAATGACAGGTCCATAAAATTACCTGATCAACAGATTTGATTAACTCCATT